GGCTCGTCCCTTCTGTAACTGTCAGATACGCCTTGGAGACTCGAGCTGAAGGCTCGTCCCGCCTGTGACTCCCGAGCTGAAGGCTCGCCCCGTCTGCGACTGTCAGCTTGGGGGGGCGGATGAAAGACGGGAGTCCTCGGGATTACAAGGATGACCAGGGAGCTGATTGGCAGCCGTGCCGCCGTCAACGTCCATCTGTCCATTTAAAGAATCCCGAGCTACAGGCTCGTCCACTCCTGCTGTCTCGCGCGGCGCTCCCCGGGCTGAAGGCCCGTCTTCGTCGGGGGGGGGCTGGTCTCCGACCGCGGGCGCCCCCTCGGCGACCCTCCCACCTGTCGCCGCGATGCTGTTGCCAGGGGGGGGGGGGGGGCAATGGGATATGAGGTGGTGGCCGACAGCCCCGGCGACTGGCAATGTGAAAGCTGGAGCTCGTGCCACGCGCTGAGAGGATTGAGGAACTCTTGCTGCTTCGCGCGGCGCTCCCCGGGCTGAAGGCCCGCCTTCTGCGTGTGCAATGTTGTCGTGCCCGGGGGGGGGCGGCGGGCGGAAGGCGGGAGCCGTTTGGACGTCGGCCCAAGTCAGCTGGAGGGGTCGGTTGCGCGACCAGGACGGAGGCCTCCACAGACCAAGGATCGACCCCCTCGCAGCTGAAGGCTGCTCCTCTCTGTCTTGACGCGTCCAAGGGAGAGTGGTCGGCGGAGCGTGGGCGTGAGCCAATGGGATGTGGATCGGGGACTTGGGCGGACAGCGGTCGGTCCACCCACCCACCATCACCGCCGCCACCCCACTGGGCAGCCTCAGGCGCAGGCCATCCACCCTCGTTGGACAAGCTCCTGAACCGATCTTCGGGAACGCCGCCGCCACTCATGGCCACAGTCTCTGCGGCGCTCTCGGCATCCATGGGCATCGTCTCTGGCTCTCGAGCTGAAGGCTCGTCCCTTCTGTAACTGTCAGATACGCCTTGGAGACTCGAGCTGAAGGCTCGTCCCGCCTGTGACTCCCGAGCTGAAGGCTCGTCCCGTCTGCGACTGTCAGCTCGGGGGGCGGATGAAAGACGGGAGTCCTCGGGGTTACAGGGGTGACCAGGGAGCTGATTGGCAGCCGTGCCGCCGTCAACGTCCATCTGTCCGTTTAAAGAATCCCGAGCTACAGGCTCGTCCACTCCTACTGTCTCGCACGGCGCTCCCCGGGCTGAAGGCCCGTCTTTGTCGGGGGGAGGCTGGTCTCCGACCGCGGGCGCTCCCTCGACGGCCCTCCCACCTGTCGCCGCGACACTGTTGCCAGGGGGGGGGCAATTGGATATGAGGTGGCGGCCGACAGCCCCGGCGACTGGCAATGTGATAGCTTGAGCTCGTGCCACGCGCTGATAGGAATGAGGAACTCTTGCTGCTTCGCGCGGCGCCCCCCGGGCTGAAGGCCCGCCTTCTGCGCGTGCAATATTGTCGTGC